AATAGATGAAACATTATTTAAACCAAAAAAAAAAAAAGTTGAGGTGAATAGAAGTCGAATAAATGTCAGTACCTATGCATCATTATCTTGCACTAAAACAACCACTGATTTCTCGAAACCACAATCATGAAATGTTGGAATATTAGTTGGATCTTGCACTATTCCAAATTCACGATACCATTCGGGTGCACAGTTAAGTTGCTTTCTGGGATAACTTGATAGTAGCGTGAGGTTCGGTGGACAATTCTCATGAGCCAACGTTGCATTGAATAACAACTACAAACAAATTAATTGCAAAATTAAGATGAAACTAGAAAATTTTATAAATGTGCAAGCTTTAAAAGAAATTTCTCTGTAACTGAGAAATAACTGAATAACAATATATGTAAATCATAATTTAGTTCAGCAGTGACAAAAGTTACCGATTATAATTCTCTTCTGCTAATTAATATAAATAAAAAATGACTGCTTCAGTAACAGCCGATCTAATTCAAATTGTGCAAATCAACAACCGAATATAGCAGCATTGAAATCATCTCATATTTTTAAGAAATATAATTTGTGGAATAGTATAATAAGTGAACTAAAACGAGTTTGACATAAGAATAAAAAAAGCTAACCTCCAAACTATTCGTAACATCGAATCGCCTCTCAAAGCGTTCTCCATTGGGAAATCGTACACTTACTCGAATACAGTCAGGTGCTTGCGATTCTGGTGGTAATTCGCTTGCTAATTTCATTCTTATAGCATCTAATTTCTGAATGATCAACTCAGTAATTACTACGATAAAATTATATCTAAAATTAAGTTGCACAAACTAACACTAGACAGTAATTAATATTAAGTAGAACCGGAAAACGATAGTGAAACAGTAAAATTATCTTTATTGACACTTTTATTTCTGTTGCCATACTTAAGGAAACTCTTCAAATAACTAAGTGCATTTCTTATTTCCAATACACACTGTTAAAACAAAAGCTTCACTCCTTTATCTTTCAGGAAAATGTACGAACCGATTACCAGTCAAACTGATAATAAGTGTCAGTGGAGTAATTATCCTTAATGAAAGCCAGCTATATCATTGCTTATAACAATCCTACTGTTAATGATGTATTAAAAAAAAAAATAAAATTACTTCTTTCTTTTCTTGTTTTCTCCTTTTCTCTTCCGCTTCCTTCATTTCAGCAATTTTTCGTTCACTCTCAGCACGTTTCCTCTCACTTATACGTGCTCGATCAGCTGCCAAACTACGCTGATAATCTGATTCTTGCTCACGTAGAATGCGATTGTTCACCTCACGCTGATGTCTGGTACCAATTAACAGTATAATATTTCGCTTTTAAAAATTATTTTAAAAAAATTCGTAGCAAACCGATGTATTATACCTTTCATTCCTTATAGCATCTAAATAGTTGCAATTTTCATCAATTGCCGTTTGAATTGTGAAAAGCATTGGCTCTAGTTCATATTCGCCTTCTAATCGTAATACCTATGATAGCGACAAGTTAGAAATTTAAAAAAAATCTTGCACGAAATTTATTTCAGATTTTTTTCATAATTTTTCATATTTCATAATTTTCTATTATCGTCCAAACAACACAGGTGCTAAACTAGATGTAAACATAGGTTTATATGACTACAATAAAAGTACAACGATCACATAATAAACAAGTGGATTTGCAAACAGTTAGACAGAAACACAAATAAATTCCAAAATAAAAATACTCATAAAAGACAAAAGAGTAAAATTAAAAGAATCGAAAAAAAAAAAAGAACAACCGCATTAAGAATAAAAAAAAATAAACAAAACAAATGTAAAAATAAAAACGGATTAAAAAGATTAAACAGTAAAAAAAAATTTATATAAATTGAAAATTAAAACAACTAGACACATACTATGCATCAACTATAAAACCTTTTGGAAAAGATAAGAGAACCTAGATAGTAAAACTATTGCAATAACTATTTTTCAAAAAACTTTTTAAACTTACTACAACCATTCGTGTCTCACGCATACAGAGTAACGCAAGAAATGGATATGTGCTCTCTCGAAGAGCCATTGATACTGCAAAATTAAAACTGATAAAAAAGCTGTAAACGATGACATATCATCGAATGTGAAGTATGATCAGTTGCTTGACAAAATAATGAACTAAAAAGTTTTTCCTTAACAGCAACTTATCAATCAGACCGTATAAACTGAAGATGCATAAATTATTCAGAGTAAAATATGTAAAATATCAGATCAGAAAAAATTCGACAATCATTATGAAAATATTTTTGCATCAAGATAAAATCATTCTATATTACCTTTATAACCTTCCTGACTGCGCACTGATACACCCCAAAGCAGAATTTCATTCCGATCCAGAAATTGTTTCATTTGATAACTGAGTAAAGTCTCACGAACAAAACGTTCACAAGATTCATGTGATGGATTGTGTAAATAAACGATCATAAAACGTAATGAATTTTTGCATTCGTTTATTGCCTATAAAGAAGATGCAAGTTAATAGTCGTTTTTTAAAGTGTTAGCAAGGAAATTTATGCAATTTTGAAAGTACTTTGTAGGAAAAGACAAATATACTATTTGGTGCACATGTCACACTTCCTCTAGTAAATATATTAAAAATTTATTCAGAAATGTTACATTCATTAAGCAGAATTAAAAACTAACATCCTCGTACGACCCATTGAAAAAACTAATTCCATTATTGGAATCGGCGAAACGAGCACTGAAGTCGTTGATAAAATGTTGTACATCACCTCTCGAATCAGCAACTGCCAATGGCGGTGCTCGGAATAATGACCCTTAATTATAACAATTACGAAATTACATCATTTTCACTCACTGAATAGTTGAATAGCATATCCCTTGATTGTTTACACCCATGAAAAATGGCATGCTAAAGAGTTATTCGAAGAAAAAAATTGAAATCTCTGAACATAACTACTTCAAGAATTTTAAGTCTAAGTAACTATTCAATATTTGTTCTTCCAAATCTTTTAGATTGCTATAAAATGAGAAAAAATCTTCCGAATAACATACATAAAAAACTGATAAGATCGAACAAGCTTTGATAAGCAATAAAGAATGGAAGCTTGATGACTGTAACGGTCCATTCAAACCAAGTTTGTGGAGATGGAGGACGTCTCCTCAACAATACTTCTGCAGGAGATAAAGATGAGCGCCGACTTGCAATTCTGAAAAATAAGAAGCTAAAAGGAACTGTGTGTAATAACTTTTTGCTCTTTTAGCATAAATAATATATTTTATTAGTGAATCAACGCAAATTAATATGACTAATTCACTCGCAATATTATCTTCACATTTATAATGCTAGGCTAACTAGTAAAATAATATCATTCATTTAAGAACCAAGAATTCGAAAAAGAAAAAATACTGCGAGGTTGACGGTTCATTGACTTGTACATGCCTATGTCTTAATTCGCTCTCTGCATTTGATACATTTTGTTCTTCTTCCTCTTTTAATCGCCCACCAGTCTGGAAACGATATAGGTATAGTGTAACAGGAAGAAAAAAAAAAATTAACTTCATCTATCGCCAGAAAAAAACATGTTTTAAATGATCAATCAAAAAAAGATATAAAATTTCTTTCTAATAAATTTAGAGTCAGGAATTATACAACTTTAAAAGTAACTCAAAAACAAATTTTTCATTCGAAGAGCAATTGAAAAATAAGGCCTTGATAATGCATAGACCTACATGGAAGAAATGCTGGACAGCACTTTCCAAATTCCAATGATTGTAAACCAAGAAATCTTTCGCTAAATTGTCGTCTACTGCGCATATTTCCTACAACCAGCTTTTGTACCATATAATACCTAATAGTTTTTTCCTATTATATTCGGTTACAAAGCAAAGATGATAACATATATAATAAAATTCTACAAATGGTAATTATATCAATAATACTTGAACCAAAAAAAAAAAAAAAAACCTTTCAAGTTTTTTCACATCAATACGAAGGACATATCAGATGTTTAAATAATCTAAATTACAAGCTCAGTTTAATATATAAATAAAAAAGCGATTTTCAAACCATTTTTCTAAAAAAAGAAGAAATATGGAATTCTACAACAATCAGCAATTTAATGAAACGTTCAGAATTATTAATGGAGATATATGAAATCATTCTAGCAAGACATTAAACAATTATTATAGTTTTTCCTTATCAGCAATTCTTTCGCTCAATTTCTAATATAATATGAACCTTGAAACTGTTGATTGAATTCATCTGTTCTTCGCTGTTTGCTGCTGCCATTTCCACACGGAGAAACAAATTTTCAAATCAATTAGTGAAATACCTAAATTTAAACTTATCCACCAATATTACTTTAGAAGTTCAAATTTCATGAATGACAAGAATCAATAGAGAGTTTTTTTTCCCTGAAAATTAATTGTAAATATTAATTGAACAAATAGCTTTGTAAGTAACAATTAACGTTTAACGAAATGAATTTTTTTTTTTGATAAAACTAGCTATCGAGATGAGAAAAAAAACTTTACAAGGAAATGCTCAACATGAAATCAAAGATACGATGGTTTTGATATTATCAGTTCAATTTGCATGATTTTTCGAGATAAAATGTCATTTCATTTGTTAATTGCAATGGTTGAACAAATCATAGTCCAAGAAAGGATAGTTCGAGTCATTTTCGAATTTAACTAAGAGTAAAATCTCGTTAAACTTATATCAAATCTCTGTTCTCACTAGAACCCTGCAAAAAATGAAAACAACCGACACATCTTACCGTTATGATGACCATGCAAACACTACAATTTCATTGTGACATAACCAGTGTGATTTAACAGTATTGCAAACCGGGCTTTGTCCAAAGTATGAAATTTTGATACTTCAGGCAGTTAGTAAAATTGGATTAATCGGCACTTTCTGCATTGTTGTTGGCATTGTAACTAATTAACTTTCATATAAAGGTGTTACTTATTGGACACTGTCGAGAGTAACGTGTAATTATGAGTGGAGGGGTTTATGGTGGTGGTAAGTTCATATTTTTTTTCGAGTTCAGTATAATCATATTTTTTTCTTTAATATGAAATAGTATATATTTTAGCAATAATAATGTTGACGAAACATTTGTAAGTGCTTGTCTGAATATATTATATCAAGAATCAGCAACTAGAATTAATTCCTATTATTCTTTTATGTTTTTGTATTCAGATGAAGTTGGTGCTTTGGTTTTTGATCCGGGTTCGCACACATTTCGAGTTGGTTTTGCTGGTGAAGAATTTCCAAAAGTAAGCTTTCATAAATTTTCTGAAGCAGCGTTGAGCAACCTATTATTATTGCGCCAAAGATTTATTAATATAGGTGACATGATGTTTCGGTTAAGGGACGGATGAGTAAAAACAAGAGTTCTAATGGTCTATACTGATTTTTTTTTCTTTGGGAGGGGGGATGGTACTGGAACTTTGTTAGGCATCAAATTGAGTTGCCGAAGCTTATTACAGTGATAAATTTTGACATAGTTTTAATGAATTATTTATTGTTGTATGTGAAATAAATTCCAGTTGTTGACATAACAAATCTAATAAATTTCTAGTCGTATGTATTATGGTCATGAAATTAGCGGTTATTTTTGTCATGGTTTTAAATTTTTACAAAGGTGTAGTTTTACATTATTTTACAGGGTGATATACCAAGTCAAGTTGGTGTGCGTGATGTCTTAGATGAAATAGATGACACCGTGGACCAAACTACTCAAAAAGCAAAAATGAAGGATTATTTTATTGGGCGGACCTTTGTTAATGTTCCACGACCAAGGACGGAAATTAAAAGTTACATGAAGGATTGCATGAGTATGTTTTTTGTTCTAAACGTCCTTTTTTGTTTATGCAGTGCCATTTTTTATTGCGATATTTAGTTGATGATTGGGATATTTTCGAGCAGTTGGTCGATTACTCATATAGTCGTATTTTATTCTCTGAAAGCCAGTACCAGCCTGTACTGTTTTCCGAAGCTGCAGTAAGTTCATTTTTGGTATTGTGCTATTTCTTTATTATTAGATGTTATTTACTAGCGTTCCTTCGTCATCCACACATCCATTTATCATTAATTTGTTGCATTTTTGTACATTTTTTTTAAGATTTATGCCTCAACTAAGTAACTAAACTTTTAGTGGAATACAAAAGCAAACCGTGAGAAATTGACAGAATTGATGTTCGAGAAATACAATGTTCCCACGTTTTACGTTGTTAAGAATGCTGTTCTTTCATGGCAAATTTATATTTTTCATATTTTTAAATTTCCATTTTTCTTTTGAATAACTGAAATATGTGCTTAACTGATAATATTTGCTTCTTATTATGAGTAAATTGTTTCAGTTATGCGAATGGTCGAACAGCTGGATTAATTCTGGATAGTGGTGCTACACAAACCTCTGCTGTTCCTGTATTTGATGGATATTGCATAACACATGGTAGTTTTTTCATACAATTTGTAGGTTTTTTTAGATGGTTTACTAAGTTTTTATTCTTCATAGAACTTTAGAAAAGTTTCAGTCAGATAGTATTCATTCGCTAAATGTACATAAGTAACTTTTGAAATTTTTTTATGTCGTATAGCCAAAAAACAAGTATTTTTCAGCAGTGGTAAAGCAGCCAGTCGGCGGCGACATGATTGCGGAGCAGTGCCGTTTGATGCTAGAAGAACAAAAGATTGATCTTGTCTCTTCTTATAAAATTGCATCAAAGGTATTATTTCTGTTGATACTTAAGTGAAACTTTACGAATAAGCATCATCCATGTCTTATCATTAGCATTTCATTTAAATAATTTATTATTTAAATTACTATTTTAGGAAGTGGTTAATGAAATGGAGCCGCCTATATGGACTGAGAAAAAAAATTTGCCTGAAGTTACGAAGAGCTACGAAACATACATGGAAAAGGTTTGTATTTAGTTGTTGTTGAGATGGTGAATGCTTCCTGATTTTCTCTTGAAATCATTAAAGTGAAGTGAAATTTGTCACTTTCAGCAAATTCTCGAAGATCTCGCAGCCTCGGTATTACAGTGTTGTGATACTCCTATAGATGTTGAGTAAGTTTTCAATAAAAATGTTTTTTCTTTTTGCTAAGTGAGCAGTAAGTATTGATCGACTAATGAATTACTTTCGTTTGTAATTAATAGTTCTGTTGATTGTAATTCCTTTTATAGAGGCGACAGTCGTGCTATTACGAAAGAATTTTTTTAGAAGCGCTACTTGTGAAAATAGTTTGAAACTTTACTTCAAATTGCAGATACATTTAATTCCTTAACTTCAAAGCACTTCTGCGATTTGCTAGTTTATGTCTTTAGATTTGCCGAAAAACTACCATCGTCACCGTTTTGCTTTCCAAATGGGTACAGTAAAGAATTCCAAGCAGAAAGAATCAAAATTCCAGAGGGCTTATTTGATACGACATATTTGAAGGCAGCGTTTCTCAAATATTAATTTAATAGCTCGTTCTTGAAATAGCATTATAGTTCTTGCTTCTGAATTTATTCAGTCAATTATATCTTGGTCGTTGATTACTGTGGCTCACAATATTTTCAGGCAGTAAATACTTCCTCAATTATGTCAGTCTCGCAGATTGCAGCTACAGCTTGTGGAATGTGCGACATTGACATACGACCGGTTAGTTATTTGAAGAGAATTAGGAAGAGAAAGGATTTTTGGATTTAAGATAATGCAATTTATATATATATATATATATATATATAATATAGTGATGCATGACTTTTTCTGCATAATAAACACTATTCTTTTTGCAAGAAAGTTTTTTGCAGACGATGTACAGCGGTTTGATGGTGACCGGTGGTAACTCATTATTGATGGGTTTTACTGAGAGACTTAATCATGATCTTGCTCACAAATGTCCACCGGTAAGTATATTACGTTATATTTACTTGTTTGTATATTTATATGCATTATCTCTAAAATTTGTTATTTTGTAGACGATAAAGCTAAGAGTTTATGCGGCGCCAACACCAATGGAACGACGATTTGGAGCATGGATTGGCGGGTCCATTTTAGCGTCTCTTGTAAGTTATATTATCGTTTATTCTGTTATAAATATTTCATATTATTTTGCTTTGTTAACTAAATATACAAAGAAAATTGTAGGGTGCCTTTCAACAAATGTGGATCAGTCGGGCGGAATATGATGATGAGGGAAAGTCGATTGTTTCAAAGAAATGCGCATAAAATGAAAGCGTTTGTTGATTATAAGGTGATTATGATGTTATTAGTTGGTTGATAAATTTCGCCTTATGATGATGTTCTGAGATAAGTGATCTTTGTAAGACATTTGTTAGATGGAATCTCCTCTAATAGTGTTTTTTTTTTTAAGTCGTGCATTCATTGCTTTCTATTTTTTTTTTTTTTTTTTTAGTTTGTTTAACAAGCAATTGATTGTGAACGATCTCCTTTCTGTTGTTTAATAGTGTTAAATTGTTTTTGTAATTTGTTATTTCGAGCGATTATTTATACTTATTTGTTTTTGCAGCATCTCAAACTCTGTCATTCTATCAAGTAATTTAATTAGACATTGCCTCTTAAATTATTCAGGTTTTCGCCTGTTATAGCTTTATTTTAGCCAACAGAATGTTATATATAAATTTTAAAGTTTGAAATTGTAAGTTGAATTGAGAAATTCATTCAGTGATCTGCAATGAACAAATTTGTGTATATATAATCCAACCAGCCATTTTTTTTTTTCATCGTTGCTTATTAATATCTGCCTTCCTCTTCAGACATCATTCTAAAGAACAATAAAAAAATAAGTTATTCACCTTTTCGTTTTTCATTTTCGGACCGCAAATTTGAAAAAGTAAACGTAGATTGTGAAGTTGGGAATTATCTTTCTGCTTTTTGTGTGATATTTGATAAGATTCAAACAGTTCTCAGATCAAACCTACTGAAAACTTGGAAATGAATGGTAGTGTATGAAGAAGTTATCAATGAACTTAATAAGTAAAGCTAAAGTCAATAAAGGAGAATTCAAGTAGTTGTGGTACAGATATTTTATATTTTTGAGTTAATAAATAGTGGTCACTTTAATATAGAACTTTACATTACATTAAATGACAGAAATGGGAAAAGTAAAACTATTAGAAATTCCAATTGAAAAATATCAATTATAGCATAGTAATGATGTAGAGGAGCAAATTTTACTCATTGTATTTATTCGCTTCCGGACACTCTTGATTCACCCGTTTCATCATCATATAAATAAATACCAGTTTTAGCAAACCATGGTAATCCTGATTCCGAACGTTTCCTAAAAATGAAATTATGTGAAAGCATTATTGAAAATGTTACATTAGCAATGTTGATGTCAAATAAATTATTTTATTGGTAAAATTGAATCATGGGAATACTTTTTTGGGTTTTATTTGTTCATTTGTCTTTGTAATATAAAAAATTTTTTATGTTTATTCAATTTTTGTAGATAATGGAACTTCCTTATTAGTCGATCAATTGTTTAATTATAGAAAAAGCATAAAAAGACATATTTAAATGCGAAAGTGGTATAGCATACATTCCACAAAATTATTGATTGTAATCTGATAGGAATAAATTGATGAATATGCTATCAGTAATAGGAAAAGATATGCATAATAGAAATGAAAAAAAAATTTACCTAATATTAAGTATTTAAGCTAAAAACAGAAGCAAAGGTATATTGATCAAATTTTTAGTATTAGACAAATATATGTGATTTATTTAATCATATCATTATCACATGCCACATTATACAATATGCTTATGATAATGATAAAGTAAAATTTATGATAGTAATAAATTAAATAAAATTAAAATAATAAAACAACAAAAATAAAATAAATAACGCCTATATTATTAGAAATTACTTGAAGTTGAATCATTTAAAATTGAAAAAACTTACATTATTAGAAATCGTTTAAATTAAATTTCATTAAATTAACAAAAAATCATTCAAAAAAATCATTAATTATTATTAGAAGTCATTTAAAATTTAATCATTTAAAATTGAAAGAAAGAAAAAAATTAGAGCAATTCACAAATTTTTTAAACTTAGTTTATTTAATTTTTATTTGTTAATCCTATAACATTTTAAAATTGAATCATTTAACAGCATAAAAGTAATGCAACCATAAAAATTCACGTGTGTATATTAAAATATACTTATATAACATTATTCCTTTTCTTTTTTTTTTCGCTTTTATTTTCTTTTCACTATTATTTATTATTATTATTATTATTATTATTATTATTATTATTATTATTTATTATTATTACCATTATTAATAAATAAAAATGATGAAATTTACCTGCAACAATCCCTATTAATTTTGCAATCATAAAGACATGCTAATAATAAAGTAAGTAGAATGAGTGCCATAAGACAGATAGGTAATAAATGATGAGTTATAGGTATTTCAAATAATTCCTCAGTTGTACTTTTTTGAGTTGTAGCCGAAGTTATTGTAAACATTGTTGTCTTCTTCTTCACATTATCCATTGACATCTGCAATATATAATTTTAATTTCTTTTTCTTAAAAATATATATATATATTAATTTAACAGAATCAAATATTTTAAAGAATGAAAAAAAGTGTATTGTAAAAATTTACATATCGTGAAAATAATTTTAAAAACTGACATTAAAAATGAATATTTGGAGAAAAAATACATATATATAATTTAATAATAATATTGCTTCAAAATTTTTCAATTTTAGTAATTCTTTCATAGCATTATAATCTACAGTTTTCCTATTGAAAATAGTATAGCATTATAAAAATAATATTAATTTATTAATGGTCAAGAATCCTAACAGATTTTTCAATAAGCTATTTTCTCGGAATTTGGTTTTAAACATTATCGTATATGTTTGTTTTTTTTTTTTTCTCAACAAATACTTTTTAAAAGTAGCATTAAAGTATAAATTCAAAAAGTGCTAGCAAATTTTTTTTAAGCAAAAAAAATTTCAAAATATATATATGAAGAACATAATTATCTAACTATTGATAAAAAAATAAATAACTTATTAATGGTCAAAAATCACAACAGATTTTTCAAAAATTTATTTTCCTAGAATTTGTTACCATACCATATTTTCCTTCTTTTTTTCATAGCAATAATTTTTTTTAAAGATAATATTAAAATATAAACTCAAAAATTCTGATAAAGTTTTTTTGTAAATAAAACGAATAATGTAAGTTTATTATTGTCGCTATTTTGAACTGAAAAATTTTTTTAAAGAATCAAACAACAAAATGATAAATAAATGAAAAATTTAAATAAGACATAACAAAATTTGTTATTTCTTTCTTCTCAATAAGCTTAATACAAAATTATTTTGATCGTCTTTTCCCTTTTCCTTTCCTTTTTTTCCTTTTTAACATTTTGATGAATAATTTCAAACAATTAATAAATAAACAATTTCACAAATGTAAATGAATGCCTAGGAAATGAGGAGGGAACATGAGAGAGGGGGAGAGAGAGGAAAAGAGATGGAAAGAGGAAATAAATTGAGAGAAATGTTTACTGTTTGTTAAATATTTATCAACAAATAACATATCTTTCATAAATTTAGATAATAATTGTTAATGAAAGAACAAGAAAAAAAAATTTTTTTTTTTCAAAGAATTACTAAAAAAGGAAAGAAAAAGAAAAAATTTATTCACGAAATGAAGGAACATTCTTTCATTTTGATGCAATACATGTTAATATATGCTAATAACCATTATGTCGAGCTTAACAAATGACGTTTGTGTCATTTTGTAGCAAATATAATTAACTTTTATATAGTAGTAATTGTTATATTTGTACGACATGCACACACACACATGTCGCATTCATTAAAATTTTTGTAATACCTGTTTCTTCCTCCTTCTGGCTCTCTGTCCCTCTCTCTCTCTCTCTCTTACTCTCTTTCTATCGATAAAATAGCTATGAAAGATTTTCATTAATTAACCTTTGTTAAATGTAATTCTAAATTAATATCGATTAATTTCAAATTAATTATTAATACTAACATTAGCATATATTAATTACATTCATATAAATGTATGATTAATGCAGTAAGAGAGTGTAACTTCGATAATTTGATAAAAGTTAGTGACAGTAGCAACAATAAATGTAAAAGTTACATATATCGATTAAATTGAATTTGTTTAAACGAACGACAGGAAAACATTAATTTTCCATCATTCATTTTCAATTTGCTAAAATCCAAACAGAGCAAATATTCAATAATGCTAATTTAACCTTTGCTCTTTCATTCCTTTCCTTTCTCCCCCTCTCTCTCTCTCTCTCTTTCTTCCTTTCCTTCTTCCTCTTCAAATTTTTACATATTGCATTCGATTAAAAATTTCGCATTCTCCAACTGCGTCATAATTTACATTATGAGATACTTTTATTTCTATACTTCGTAATCATATCATATTTTCGTTACAAAATTCTCACAATAATATGATTCATCGCTGTTTATTGAATTTAACATTAACATTTTCATTTCACGAAAATTTAATTGCTCAGATTGAATTACATTGATGATAATTTGTTTATAATGAAGAAAAAAAAAAATGAGCAAATTACAAAACTGATTGATGGAATTGATTGATTATTCGTAAAACATTACTATACAATGTTTGCTCACATTTCAACTTCGACTGCTTACAATAATAATTTAGTTCGATCCATTTTTTTTTGCTAATTAAAAAAGAACAAAAAAAAAAAAAGAGAAAAGAACAGCAAAACTATGGAATTTCAAGTTCTAATCTAATTTAAATTTTAAACCAGTATTTTAATAGCTTAAACATTTGTGATGATTTATAAAAATTATTAAAACTGTCAGCTAACAAATGTTGCTGTAAGTGAAGAACATGAAAGAAAGAGAGAGAGAGAAAAAAAGATATAAACACTGCTGTATTTAATTCATTCATATTTATGAATAAAAAAAATCATTTTATTGAACATATCATTTGTAATGTAAATATTTAATAAAACCTCTATTTTATCAATTCATTGGAGTATTTGATTTTTGATTTATTTATTTCCGCCTGATCTAACAAACTTCTATCTAGTTTGCATAAACAAATTATTATTATTATTATTATTACGCTAATATTTATAATTACACTACACTAGAAATGCATAATAGCACTAATTTAATCAAAATGATAATAAACATGTTTAACTCGTTTCATTAATACAA